TGTTCCTTCTTGTATATCTCCAGTAGAAATATACAACGCCGTCACTCCACGTGATGATCTCCCATCCCACATGTGAAATTGTAGGCTATGTTTTGGGTGTTGCTAGGTAGGTTTCACGGTATATTTTGTGCACATTTTCACACAGTTTGGAAAAAGTCAGACAGACTATGGTTAGGGAATTCGGCTTTTTCATCCAGTTAAGTCTTCCTAATTCTTGTCTAAGGGTTTCATTATATACCTGAGGACTTCTTCTGTTAATCATCTCATTTCTGATATTCTCATCACTTTTCAGTTTTCCTCTACTCACAATCTGACCAAGTTGTGGGCGATCCGTAGTCCTGAACTATCTTGGTCTCCCTGCCCCTGTCTTGTGTTCAATCCCAACTCCTGACTGAATATTCTTAAGTTCTGTAGACAGAGGAATGTCATGTCTACCAGCTAACTCTTTTGCATTAGTCACACCCCTTTCAAAATCATCTAGAACCAGCTTTCTTTTCTCTTCTGCTGTAAAACCTGCTATGTCAACAAAGCAAGCTGTCTGCTACACCAGGGGAGATAACTCTTGATGCAGTTCTTAAGCGTACAAGATTAGCCTCCCATATTAACTACCTTAATACAGAATGTAAGACCTTTTCAATAATGTTTGGAAAATCTGTAAAAGTGAAATGGGCTATGGACAAGAATGATTGTATGAATTACAAAAACTACTTGTTTATATATATATATAACACAATATTTAATAATTTTTCCTTATCCTGACTTATGCTAAATGCTTGTCTCCTCATTCTTGCTAATGATAGTGGAACACTTAAAATCCCTTTAAGTTCCCTTCTAAAAAGCGGACGTAAAATCTTCACTCACCCACGAGTAGTCTCCCTTGCCTCCTTTGGCGCCTTTTTGGTTACATGACCAGCTATGTTTGTCACTCTCTCCTTCTTCGCCCTTGAGGACGGTTGTGAGAGCACCTGGGTCCCTATACGGCACATATCCTTTTCTATTTTGGACCTTTTACATCTAAATGGCAGCTGTATACGGTTTTTGGATTGTATATTATCAAATGTTTTGATATTATGTCTAAATTATACGTTGTTTGCCATGTTTGTCATCTGGTTTACAATTGATGTAAACTTGTAGTCGTTGTAAATACCGGCTGTCCCGCATATATTATGTCCTTATTGCACTACTACATGTTCTTCCAGCTTTCGCTGTAAACATTGTCAGAAACTACTTTTGAATTTAATAACTACCTTTTTTTCTCTTCATAGAAACAGCTACATCGGCAACTATATCAGCGCAGACATTGACAGGAGACCTATCAATGCAGACATCGGGTACCAGAGATAGCAGCAGCGTCAACTCTTCACAAGTGCAGCGTACCTTAGAAGAGGCCTCAACGTTCTCAGAAGCATCATCAACCCTGCAGCAGTCTCAACATACGTCACAGAACTTCAACCTGGGGCTGTTTATGCAACAGTTTACAGATCAGATGATGTCGATGATGGAACGTCGCTTCCGCAGGAGGAAGCTTCTACTAAGACCACTACGACAACTACAAGCCTGCGCCAAGGTTCAGCAGCCTCTCCAACGCACCTGGATGAAGAGGAAAGCCTGCGCGAAGGCCCACGCACCTGACGATCGTCAACATCTGAAGCTAGAAGTCTGGACAACGCTACCAACGTCAGCTCAGCCTTAGACGTCCCCGAAGGAGCCTTTAAGAATTCTCCACACAGAAGCAGATTGAAGCATTCTCCAGAACCCAACAGACACCGCAGATAGTTAAATGGATCGTCATCACCGTCGGACTTAGACTCACATCGGGAACCTGCGCGCAGGCACTCCACATCTCACAGAGGGGAGATTACGTCAATCAGCCTTCGTGAAAGCTTAGAGAGATATCTCAAGACTCCAGGAGGAATACACGGTCACACCGGGACCATTCACCTGCACGCAGCTCTACATACAGATCTACATGCAGAGACTCGCGTCATTATGGATCTTCAGATAGGGAAATGTCCAACTTCACCGTCTGAAGTTAGAAGTCTGGAGAACTCTACTAACGTCAGCTCAGCATAGCAGACCCCTCCGATGACAGTCGCCCTGCGCGAAGGAATATTAGCTATGCGCTCTCTTGGATGAAGGCCTGCACGAACAGTTATGTTCACGAAGATCTTTACTGTCAGAAGTATCAGCAGTTAGAAGCCTGGAGGATTCAACGAACACCAGCTTAGCGTTAGCAGTCCACGATGGAGCCTCCACGCAGTTTCAGCGTCTCAGCAGGAAGGATTCTAACACAGAAGAAAATCCAGTCATTCTCCAGGATTCTACAGACTGCGCAGATACTGATCTTCCAACTTGGACCTTCATCAACCTGCGCGCAGGCACTCATGGGGAGGATTATAATCAGTCAGCATGTCCCGCCGTTCAACGATAGCAGATTTCCCCTTCATCATACAGAGCCCTTCATGCTAACATCAGGGTTTGAGATTACAAGATCATCAGTGAATCCCGTAATAGATCTTCAAGATGGAAGATAAGAAGATAACGCAACTGCACACTACAACTAGATGTTGGCTATGTTGGATCAACACGTGGCTGAAGGAAGAGACACACACCTGAAGTAACGATGTCAGATAACATCCGATGAAACACTGAAGATGAATTTTCATCACATGGGCTTACAAGATATCAAGGGGACAGTTAACAGCATTGTCGCAGTTCCTCAGCGAGACATCGGTTACGGTCAACTTTACAGAACATCTGTATAAGATGACGACTGCAGTAAAGATTATAAAGTTGAAGAATACAGTGAAAACAGACAGGTAACAGTCTGCTTACATCGGTATTACGCGGCGAAGTTTTCGCCCGCTTCCACTCAGCCATCTATACACATGTTGACTCGTGTAACTCCGGCACAAGCCGAACACAGAGGTTATGGACAAGGCTGAGTGTTGATGAAGAAATCAACGACTGCACAAGATTCTACAAGGATCATTTACCTGCAACACCGGTGACGTCACATCTGTAATCTGATTGGTCCATGATAGACAACGCCCTCCACAGAACTCAGTCATAGTCACGTGCCAGGAAGTCGTCTACAGTTGTAAACAACTCTTTCAATGTGGGAAAGGCTCCATTTACAGTCCAGTTAGCAGGGTACAGCATGGTTTGACTATCTTCACGGGTCATAGAGGACTTCCCCTGTCAGCAGATTTAATATTGGTTATCTGGGGACTTGCAGCGACAAGCGTGAGACAGTTTCTGCTCGCGGCAGCCGGTCGACTATAAATAGACTTCACATTGATGGCAGGCCCAGTACATCATAGATTTTTGCTGATTTAGAGATGACGTATTATGCATCATCACTGCACATTGTTAGGATTCTAGTGACATCTTCATTACATATTACTGGAAGATTGATGAGACAAGCTTCAAGCCATTATTCCAGAATCGATCATCTCTCCGGTTCCAATATTGACAGACATGGCAAGGGCTCCTAGATCCACGTACCTACAACGGAGGACATGATGGCAATAGATGGCTAGTAATCTCCTAATCGGAGTTGGAACCAAAACAGGATCTTCAATTTCTGGGAATATGGCTCATCACACCACAGAATCAGGAACAATTACATGTATTGTTAGTAATTGTTAGTAAACTTACCTCTGGATTATGGTTGCCTTATTCCTGTGGATTCCACAGATACATACAGAATGGAAATGAAAATTTTAACTAAGTCATAGCTATCCCTAGTGGTATGCTTAAAAGAGTTACGCAGTTATCTCCCTTAGGCTAGCTGTGACGTCACAACGTAGTTGTTGAAAACCTCTCATGATTTTTCTGAAGAAAACTGACCTCTTCTGCATCTCCTCGTGGGGAGGTCGGGTGGGCAATAGACTCCATAATCCAGAGGTAAGTTTACTAACAATTACTAACAATACATGTAATTGTTCCTAATTATAGGCGTAAACATTCCCTCTGGATTATGGTTGCCAGAATCACACATACGGAAGGAGGGTTTATGCAGATGATGAATACAGCAATACCACTAATTATCCCGTTATAGTCTATGACATAACAATTAGGATAACTATGACTTAAGTGATGAAATGTAATATATATATCGATTACCTAGATCATTCCCTGGATATTTCAGTATATAATTACCTAAAGGGAAGGATCATCCTTGTGAGGGAGAAATATATGGTGTTTGGAGAAGACTGTGACGTCACTTCCGGTCCCAGACGTCATATCCGGTTCTGTAATAGTCTATTGACTGATTCTCATTTTAACCGGTTTCTGTGACGTCACTTCCTGTTTGATGACGTCACTTCCTGTTCATTGACGTCACTTCCGTTTATTGACGTCACTTCCGGTTTGTGATTTCAAGTCTTCTTGTGGATTATTTAACTGGAGTAATAAACTGCAGCGGATATAATAATTCCACTTTCTTGTGATAAACATTAGTAGATACGGTTCTTCAAAGATCCCCATCCTTCCGTTTACTGTTAACCTGTTTCCTCCCACACAGTCCAAAGACAGTGAACCACTGCTGAGTTTGGATATATATATATATGCACCCCCTTTTTTTCCCCTTCAAGGGAAAAACAAGAGGAGGAGAGGCGCTGTCTGTAGGCTCTCTTAGGATGGAATGACGTTTTGCAAAAACAAATTGGTGTGGGGATTAGAGATCTTCCACTGGCATGCAGCAACAATCTGATCTATTGAAATGGACCCCCAAGCTGCAAGTGACGACGTCCAGGCCCTGGTCTCATGCAGGGAAAACTATTCTTCACTAAGTTGGGGTCAAAATCCTGGTAAACAAGAAAATGATTGTCTTCCTAAGCCAAGACGATATAATATTCAATCAAGAACTCCAAATCAACAATTGTCTTGCATGAGATAATAAAACAAAACAAAAACAAACAAACAAAACAGCGGCAACTATGTCTGATATTGAGAGCATGCTGGATATACCTTCTCAGAGCTCGAATAGGGCATAGGAGTCTAGTTCTGTCTGATCTAGAGGCAGAGGTAGGGAATACTTGAATCTGGTATACTCTGTGGCCGAGAGACCATCAGCAGAAGCCTGATTCTTGGCAAGAACAAACTGGTAAAGTTCTACATGACAGCCATCTAGAGCCTCCTGTAAAGGTGATTGACTAAAGTCTATGGCCAAAAATTCTGGTATTCTGGAACCGGAAACTGTAGCAATGACAAGTAGAAAACCCAACTTTTTATGGAGAGGAAATGACAATGAATTTCCTACATAGGTTTGGAAGAAACAGGTGGTCAGGCTCGCTGACTTGGTTAGCACAATAAGTCATCGTATCCCAATTGTGTAGATCGATGCTCATGTTGTAGAACACTTGATTGTCTGGTCCAGACTCGATTAATTACAGATTGCCGCCATAAAGATGGAATATTGCCGAGTGAAGCGGAAAACTTAACTAGCTCACTGTGGTTGATACTCGACTACGCACGTATAAACTAAAGAGTACCTCAGCTGCCTAAACTATGGCTCTTGCCCGCGTCATACGAGTTACGATAGCCGACGATTCCGCGGATGGCACCCGGTCCCGTTCGGCTTGCGACTCCGACCGCACCATGCGGAAATAAATGATTGCCTGCCAAGCGGACTTACTAATAGTAGGGTCAAACACAAGCGGTTGAACCCCCGGAACTGACGGCAGGACCTCGTGCGGCTTGTGCCATGGGCATAAGCTACCGTCGGTCGACCTCGTCGACATAGACGGTGTCAACCTGAGCCGAGATATATCCCGTTATGCCATGCCACCGATCCGCCGGACTACCCGTGGCTATGGGAGATGGCAGCTGGTGGACAGCCGTGAAGCCCGTGTCTCCCGTAGCCGGTATGGTTGACTGGGACGATCCCATACGTGTGGGCCGCAAACGGTCCACGGGGATCAGCCCCGTTATGCTCGCTTGGCTCCAATCCGCTTGTGCGGGAAAGGGTGGCCGGCCGAGAGGGCTTTTATGGGTTGTAACCGTTGCCGGTTGAAACCCAGGGACTGAAGGCAGGGCCCGTGCAGCTTGCGCCATGGGCAAATCCTGCCTAATGTCGAACCGTCGACATAGTCCCTCCCGCTCGAAACCTTGGCTTCTCCCGCCGTGGGGATTGCTCATCAGTTTGTAGTTTGCGGGTGATACTACGGCTTCCCCGAGTAGAGCACCACAACGACCTACGGGTATAGACTCTAGACCTTGGTCTGGACCGTGGTCTTTTTGAGTCTGTATGGCACACGGCCGACAGGCTTCAGCCTGATCAAACTGCCTCTGCCTCGTTTTTTATCGAATTTGCAAAGAATAGATATATGGAAGAATGAATGTATCCCGTAAGGGATGAAACTAATGCCGTATATTGTCCATTTAATCCAATCATATTACAAAAAAAAAATTCTTGACACAATGAAAATCGGTTATAAAAAGAGTATGGAGGACCCGTGAGGCAGGAGGCAAATAGAAAAAGGGGATACAATTTGGCCATGAATTTTGAGATTGCAGACACGTGCTAGACATTATGATTTTTGGCGGGAAAATTAGATGAAAAGCAAGCAATATGCACAAAATATAGAATGCGATCGTCAGAAACATCAACCAATGCGACACTACTGACCAGGAGTCTTGAAGTTGTTGAAAATTTGAAGAAAAATTAAAAAACACTTCCACTCTGTAAATATGTCTTCTGTGTTGTCCATACAGAAAAATTATGAGAGGTTTTCAACAACTACGTTGTGACGTCACAGCTAGCCTAAGGGAGATAACTGCGTAGCTCTTTTAAGCATACCACTAGGGATAGCTATGACTTAGTTAAAATTTTCATTTCCATTCTGTATGTATCTGTGGAATCCACAGGAATAAGGCAACCATAATCCAGAGGGAATGTTTACGCCTATAATTACACAGTTGTCCCAGAGGATCGTTGGGTCAAGATACAACATATGTTATCTCAAGCAATGCTCTCTCCGTTGACACTACGTGCTTGGCAAAGCATGCTTGGTCTACTCACCTCAGCTCAAGACATGACTCGCAGAGGGAGATTACAGCTGCACCCACTACAATATTTGTGAACACCCATCTCGACAGTTTGGATCCACTGATACTACCGGACAGCCTGAAACCATAACTCCTATGGTGGACTGAGACATGAATGTTTTTGGAGGAATTTTTTGTCAGAGCCGGCTTGCAACACTCATCTCTACGTGGATCCATCACTACAAGGATGGGGTGCTCACCTCGACAATGAAGTGGCAGCAGGAAAGTGGTCGAGTCAGGATCAAATGCTGCACATCAACCTGTTGGAGATGAAAGCAGTGATCAACGCTTTACAACACTGTTCCAGCATACTAAGGAATGCAAGGCTCAATCCACACGGACAACTCCACAGTAGCGTTCTACATCAACAAACAAGGATCAACAAAGTCAACAAGTCTGCTAAAACTCAGCTTTCTCCTGTTCAGCATCGTCGACGACCTGAACATCTACATGAAGGCATGTCACATTCCAGGAGCAAAGAATGTCATAGCAGACGCCCTATCTCGTCCACTACACCCATCCCTGACTGAATGGATGTTACATCCAGAAGTGTTCCGGTTCGTCACACAGACAGTAAGATCTCCGCTGATAGACCTGTTTGCAACAAAGTTCAACAAACAACTACCAACATTCGTCTCACCGATTCTGGATACTCAGGCATGGGCAACAGATGCTTTAAGCATCTCATGGGAAGGACTAAACGCTTACGTGTTTCCACCTCCAGCACTATTACCACAAGTAATACAGAAAATCATGCAGACGACAACACTGCAACTGATTTTGGTCGTGCCCTATTGGCCAGCGAGGGTATGGTTTCCCGTCCTCCTACAAGAACTCGGAAGTCAAACCCTGAAACTACCAGAGTGGTCGAACCTGCTCGTCCATCCACACACCAAGCAAGCTCACGGGAATCCGGCATTGTTCCAGCTACACGAGTGGAGCGTATCAAAGCTTGCCTGCAGACTAGAGGGTACTCTGCCAGAGCACCGAAAACAGTGACACAAGCTCTACGCAGATCAACTCACAACTTGTACAACGATAAGTGGCAGACAAGTATGCAACGAGGAAAGGCTTTACGGCGGTGAAAACAAACCCATCCTCAAGTGGCGGAATACTTGTGTCATTTGCAACAGACGAAACACTTAAAAGGTTCAACACTCTCAACGTACCTGGCTGCTCTCAGCACAGTTATCACCATGAAGACGGGTGTCAAGTTGACCAAAGTACCAGAGATTCTGGCACTAATACGCTCGTTCAAGTTGGAAGACCAACAAAAGAAATTCAAGGCTCCTACCTGCGATCTCAACATAGTTCTACAACATCTCACCAGTAATGCCTACGAGCCTCTAGAACGGACATCCTTTGAACTACTGACACAGAAAACGCTGTTTCTGATTGCCCTAGCAACAGCAGCACGGATGTCAGAAATACATGCTCTGAACGAACACGATTTGAAGCAAGACATCGTACATCTTGGACTGATGGGACTTTATTGCCAAGAACCAACTGCCCGGCCAGCCTGACAGACAGTTCCACATCCCAGCACTTTCTACAGTCCTTGGGCCACAGGATACATAGGATTTATCCTTATGCCCTGTCAGAGCATTGAAAGTCTACCTACAAAGGACAAAAATAAGAAGACGAAACTTCAAGCACCTATTCATCCCCTTATCCACTGAGACGTCCATGGAAGTCTCTCGGACAACTACATCAGTTGGATGAGAGCCGTCATACTAAGGGCCTACATAGCAGCAGGACTTGAGCATCCACGAGCCTCCAATCCCAACAGGCGTCTACACTTGCTCTGCATGGAAACTGCTCAGTTACAACAATAATGGAGGGCTGCTTTTGCAAATCGGACACGGTGTTTGCCAACCACTACCTCAGAGACATTGCCACCGAAGACGTCTAAGGCATTCTCCAGTTTGGGCTACTTGTTGTAGCACAACAACTAACGGTTCCACAAAGGCGCTGAGAAAAATCTTGCCCTTTTTTCATGTGACTTGTCAAAACCAACGCTCCGGAAAGCAAATGGTTAAAGTCCATGCACACGTCTAGGAAAGACTAGCATGAGTGATAGACCCTGTACTTGTATAGGACTTGCTCGTACATGAAGAAAGGTCGCATCTCCACTTGATGCACGCATCAAGAGATGGAGTTGCAATAGCTAACTAATGGAACATTAGTATATCTAAAATCCACATGAAAATGTCAGGAGAAGTATCGGAAGAAATCTGACAAGTTGTGGTTCCCCCCGACTCATCAGATGGAACAGTGCCGTCATAAATTCCCGTGGGGGGGAATACAGGACGTAAAACAGCAGCCAGTGAATCCAGGAAGTGGCCTGACCCACCACCGATTCCGACGGATTCTGCAAGCATTTAGCATGAGTCAGGAATAAGGAAAAATATGTAATTTTGTGACTAAAATTGATATTTTATACTTATCCTGACTCATGAGGCCAGCCCTCCCAACCTCCCCTCTCAGGGCACTCTGGATTTCCCTGTAAATCTGGGTGTCAGGCGTACAAACGGAGAGAGTGACAAACATAGCTGGTCATGTGACCAAAAAGGTGCCAAAGGAGGCAAGTGAGACTACTCGTGGGTGAGTGATTTTACGTCCATTATTAGAAGGGAACTTAAAGGGATTTCAAGTGTTCCACTATCATTCGCAAGGAGACAAACATTTAGCATGAGTCAGGATAAGTATAAAATATCAATTTTGGTCAGAAAATTACATTTTCTATGGAAAAGTTGTATTGCTACAACATCATTTTGGTTGATAGCACTTGTTTTAAAAAGTTATTAAGAAGTCACAATTATGCCCTTTAGAAATGTACAACCATACCAGTGGATGGTTTCTATAGAATCAATGTATGGAATTAATAGTAACAAAATACATGTACTTAAGTGACATTGACCACTTGCAGGAGGAAGGCGAAACTAAAGATGACC